GGGGACTGGTGGGTGAGGAACAGAGAACTCCAGAGGAAGGAGTGGCAGCCCCAGCACACACATGGGGCCACAGGGGATGGCCATGCCCCCAGGACCAGGACAGGTGACATGACCTCGAGGGGGAGGTCTACTCAGGAGCTGATGAACTCACTGGACCTAAGTCCTCCGAGACACCAGGAAGCCACACCCAGCGAGCCGTTCCATGGGATCGGAGGCCCCTCTTCCCTCAGTGCCTCCCTGCTGCAGTCTGTGGTCAGTGCTCAGGGCCCCTTGGTGAGGGAGGCTGCCTGAAGGGGCCAGGTCCACTCACCAGTCAGCCTGTGGGTAGATGGGGGGCCGAGAGGGGAAGGTGTGTGTCATACTGAGCCCTAGGAGCTGACGGACTGGATGCCCAGGACTCTTGTGCCACTGTAGCTGTGGCCGCACTCCAAGTCACAAGTCTGCCTCTCCCCTCGGTCCTGCTCCACGGCTGTTCTTCCCTCTTGTCTCCCTGTTCACTCATTCTCCTTTCTCTGATCGGCTCTAAGACATCACTGGCTCCTGCTCACAGAGGTAGTTCTCATTTCATTTCTCTGGTGTTCCTAAGCCTGCCTCTTCTTCCTTTTGCAAAAAAAAAAAAAAAAAAAAAGAAGTGTGAAGTGTTTCTTCTTTGTGAATGATGGAGCATCTGTGCACACTTGCGGGCAGGGCAGAGAGACAGCACCCTCCATGGGGCCTGGTCACGTCATGGTCCTTTCCTCCAGCCCCACCCTCCTCCAGGAAGCTCCCTGGACTGCTGCTCTCCAGTCTAAAATGCCCCGCAGTTGAGCGTTTTAGAGTGACCAGGCCGGGCTCCGCCCCTAGTGGCCACGTGGGATCCCAGTTCAGAGGAGCACATTCCCGCGGGGCCCAGAGTCAGCTGCCTGTTCTCTCTGTCTCGGCGGAATCCTGTCCTGTCTCGCATTCCTGTTTTCCAAAGACGAGATGGTCTGAAACACCACTTTTTCCTCTACCAAGCATTTGCGGGTCTGAATTCTGAGGATCTAGTCTCACGACTGCTCACCTTTTCCAACCGTCACTCGCTCCTGGAGGGTCTTCTTGTCTTGTCACTGTGTGCGGGTCTGTCTCTGGGGACCCCACAGCGCTGCATTTGAGGTGGCCATGCCAGGGTGGTGTGGTGTTCACTACTGACCCGGGAAGGAGTCCCAGTGCTTGCGTGGCTTTGCGATCCCTGCACATGCTGGCAGTGTAAACCCGAGTGCCAGAGCCTGGGAGAGCCCAGGGTCTGGCCGCCTTCCTTGGAGAAGACACGTTCTCTCCAGGCCAGGAGAGGGCATCCTTTCAGTCACTCTGCTGCCCTGGAGGCTTTTCAGCCCAGTTCTCCAGGGACTTGGGGTATGTTAGGGCCCCTCCACCCAGAGCAGCTTGTCTTGCTGGGGTCCATGTCTGGCTTTAGCATCGGGGCAAACTTGGCTTAGGCCTCTGGGCTCGTCCCTGCCCAGATCTGCCCAGGGGTTCTCCTTGCTCTTCGCTGGTCCAGCCCAGGATTTTCTGAGAATCTGGCGGTGCTCTCCTGCATGGGACGAGCATGTCTCTCCCATCGTACTGTATGCAACACCCAGTGTGCTAGCCTTAATTAGTGAGGTGCTCCCACCTTCGGAAGCACTGAACAGTCGACACCCCTAACATCGCACCTGGCCGTTAGTGAGGCAGTTCATAAATTAGGCCCTCACGGATTTAACAAGAGTGAATTTTCTCCGACACTTGCTACAGCTACACGCTAGCAACACCTCTGAAGGTGTAACTCACACCCAGGCTCCCTGAGTGTCCGTGCACTGCACCTGAGGCCAGACTCGGCCACGAGGGCCTGTGCGCCTCTGAACCTGCGGCTCCATTACTGCCATCCTGGCCCCGCGCTCGTCTTTCTCCTCCTTCCTTTCCCGCGGGCACCTCCCTGGGTATTCACACTTCCCCAGGATTTCTGTGGCTTTCTGAGACTCCGCAGTAAACAGTTGCTGCCTCTAGGGTGTGGGTTTCGGGAGCTGGTCCCCTCCACCCCTCGGGACAGAGCTCCCTCGGGGGTCTGACGCGGGGCCCTGGCCGCTGGGGCCTCTCACAGCCCCTCGTGTACTTACTGCGCAGAGGCCAGCCCCATCCAAAAGGCACCTTCTTACATTTGAGCCAGCCCTTCCTGTTAGCCATCATCCTGGGACGCCTCTCCTGGAGGCGAGTATTAACGAAAGCTCCTTGAACCGGGTATTTTGCTGCGGGTTTGCAAGCAGGTAGGTCATTGCTGCTGACCCCAGCCACTGGCCACTCCCCTGTCCTGTCCCTGGGCTGAGTGGCTGACTCAAGCCACCTTGGTCCTCTCATAGTCCCACAGACACAGCGAGCCCCTTGGCACGGTACTTCTGGGCTCCCGAACAGGAGACGGCCCTGCTGCTTCATGTCTCATGTGGCAGCTACAGTGAGCGTGGGCCCTTCCTGGGGCTCCTCCCAAGGCTGCTGTGCTCCCTCAGCTCTGAAGGTCAAGGCATGAGCAGGGCCATGGTCCCCCAGTGGCATGAGGGAGGGCTGTTCCCGGCTGAGGTAGCCTGGCCCGTGGCAGTACACCTCCGGCCCCGGGGGCCCTCCCTGTGTGTGTCAGCCTCTGCGTTGCACTTCCCCCTCTCGAAGGCCCCTGCCGCACTGCGCCAAGGCTGCCATCACGCCCTCACCTTAGCTGGATTACCTGCTTCCGCCCCCTCGCCAAATGCTGCATCTGAGGCCCGGGGTTAGGGTGTCGGCACGTGAGCAGGACAGTCAGCCCAGGGGACGTGATTACCCATCCAGCTGTCCCAGGGAGCCGCACTCACAATTCTCATTGTCTCAGTGCTTGGCCGGCCTCAGCCTGGCCTCTAACTTAAATCCCTTTCCTCTGAGCATGGACCCTGGGCTTTTGAAAACGTGCTTTCTGGATACTTCAGAACATTCCAGACCTTCCTAATCTTGTCCTATTCCAGACACAGGAACAGCACCTCCAGGGAGTCCTGGGGTTTTGCAGAGGACACGGCTGGCCTGAAAGTTTGGGCCAGATGACCCTGGGAGAGCGCGGTGTGCGGGGCAGGAGGGGCTGCTTTGTGTGGTGGCCCTCGTGGTGTGGGGCAGGAGGGGGTTCATTGTGTGGGGGCTGGCATGGTGTGGGGTGGAGGGGTGCATTGTGTGGGGGCCGGTGTGGTACGGGGCAGGAGGGGGTGCACTGTGTGTGGGGGCCAGCATGGTGTGGGGCAGGAGGGGGTGCACTGTGTGGGGGCCAGCCGGTGCAGGGCAGGGGAATGCGTTATGAGGTGCCAGCCGGTGCAGGGCAGGGGAGTGCGTTGTGCGGGCTGGCTAGTGCAGGGCAGGGGAGTGCGTTGTGGGGGTGCCGGCTGGTGCAGGGCAGGGGAGTGCGTGTGCGTGTGC